CAGACCCCCGGGTCGAAGAGCCTCAGGACTTGGGCTTGGACGCTCCGTTGCCTAAAAGAATATGCTAATTATCTCTGGAACAGAACAAAGTGGTATATTCCATTATGTTTATCGGGATGTGATCACAGGCCGATTGATAAATATCCACTGTTTATCTAGTCTTGTGACACATGAATCATGGGTTAACTTTGATCGTATCTCTTTTACCTTGTCCAGACTAGTCTCAGGGAATTTGGGGAGGTGGGTCTGAGCATGTACACTTAGGGTATATGAGGTTTTCAGAAAAACTGGTCGGGGCCTGTGGCCAAGAGGAGACTCTGCCTTGGGCCTGCCGGTGAAATAAACTGCACTCCACGATCTGCATTGTCCCTCTGAGTGAGTTTGTTTCCCGGATCGCGTGGCTACGACAGGGTCTCACCCGCAAACCTCCCAGTGGCAACGGGACTGGGGCATCTGGCCACAGGCAGCAAGGCCATGGTTGGCTCCCCGAAATCTGTTACCCAGTCCAAGCTTGCACTGCTTGCTGTGTTGTAGCCACGCGATCCGGGAAACAAACTCACTCAGAAAGACAATGCAGATCGTGGAGCACAGTTTATTTCACCGGCCGGCCCAAGGCAGAGTCTCCTCTTAGCCATGGCCCCCAACCAGTTTTTGTGAAAACCTTATATAGCCTAAGTGTACGTGCCCAAACCCACCTCCCCAACTTCCCTGAATCTAGTCTGAACAAAGGAAAAGATAGAATCAAAGTTAAGCCTTTGGTTTATTTGTAAACCTTAACCCTAGGGGGTCAACAATGGACAGTTACCAACAGGGCTGTGGTCACACCCCAATAAGCATAAGAGAATGCATGATTCTCTGCAGTTACACTGATAATTGGGGCATTCTTTTAGGCCACGGAGAGTCGAGTCTTCCTTCGGGCGCCTGGTTTTCCAGTTGGTATGTCATTTTATAGATACTGGGCCTAAAACTCAAAGTCCACAGTCCTGCCCAAGATGGCGTCCTGCTTTCAAGATGGAGCCTATTCTGTTTCCTGCTTCACTAGCACGGTATGCCAACAAATCGACAAGGAAGAATGACTTTATTCAGAGAAAGCCAGCAAACCAGAAAGATGATGGACTCAGGCCCCAAAGAATCATCTTTCCTGAGTTAAGAGGGTGTTTTGATACTAAAAGGGAAGGGAGTCAAGTCAAACATTTCCTGGTTCAGATCAGACTTAGAAGGGATGTGTTAATTTCTTCCTTTCTGCAGCCACTCACAGGAGAGCCTGGTCAGGGATGCTTCCTGTGAGCTAAACAAAGTATTTGAGTTTAGCACTCCCTACCTGAGAGGCTGGGTTCCCAGAGATGGGCCATTATGTATAATTCAAACTTATAGGCAACATCCCTTTAGTCATTAACTTGCAATAGAATACAAAGGTTCTTCCCCATGACAATAGAATGACATTTTTAAAATGCTGAAAGCCTGAAATTTCACATCAAACAAAATATCTTTGCAAAACACAAGCAAAAAAAAAAAAAAAGTTTCGGATAAACAAGGCGTATCTGCCCTAAAAGAAAGAAATAGTCTGTAAACCGAAAGGAAATTAAATTCAGTGATATTTTGGAAGTGCAGCTAGAGAGACTATTGACAATATAAGTGGCTTAAAGCTATGTTTCTTTCTTTTCTTAAATTCTTTACAAACAATTGACTATTTTAAATTCAAATCTAGTAACTGTATGGGGCTTCCCTCATGACTCAGAGGTAAAACAATCCACCTGCCAAAGCAGAAGACAGAGGTTTGATCCCTGAGCCAGGAAGAGCCCTTGGAGCAGGAAACGGCAACCCACTCCAGTGTTCTTGCCTGGAGAATCGCACGGACAGAAAAGCCTGGCGGGCTGCAATACACAGGGTCGCCGAAAGGTCGGACAGAACTTAGAGACTAAGCAATAAGAGCATAATAACTGTGCACCAGAGTTATAGTAGATGCAGAAGATAATACTTTTTAACAATAGCACAAAGGGAGCAAATGGAAGTTCTTTGCATTCGATGTGAAATGGGATAACATTAATTAAAGACAGGATGCTGTGGAGAAATGAACTGACAGCATGGATTCAGTCCAGCTCTCCTGCCCCACTGTCTCACAGCCTCACACTGCCTGTTTATGTTCTGTAAACAATGATACTGCTGACTTGGGTAGCAGTGGGCCTGCGAGCCCACTGGGGCACGGGCCACTTTTGTCTGTCTTAATGCATCAGTAGTCTTTGAAGACTCGCCGCCGCTGCCTGGAGAGAACAAACGTGTCTGCAGTCCCCACAGCTCCTCGAGTCTTCTTCCATCTTCCCTGATCTGCAGTTCAGTTCAGTCACCCAGTCGTGTCTGCAGCACGCCAGGCTTCCCTGTTCATCACCAACTCCCAGAGTTTACTCAAATTCACGTCCATTGAGTCACTAGTGCCATCCAACCATCTCATCCTCTGTTGTCCCCTTCTCCTCCCTCCTTCAACCTTTCCCAGCATCAGGGTCTTTTCCAGTGAGTCAACTCTTCGCATCAGGTGGCCAAAGTATTGGAGTTTCAGCTTCAGCATCAGTCCTTCCAATGAACACCCAGGACTGATCTCCATTAGGATGGACTGGTTGGATCTCCTTGCAGTCCAAGGGACTCTCAAGAGTCTTCTCCAACACCACAGTTCAAAAACATCAATTCTTCAGCGCTCAGCTTTCTTCACAGTCCAACTCTCACATCCATACATGACCACTGGCAAAACCATAGCCTTGACTAGACAGACCTTTGTTGGCAAAGTAATGTCTCTGCTTTTTAATATGCTGTCTAGGTTGGTCACAACTTTTCTTCCAAGGAGTAAGCATTTTTTAATTTCATGGCTGCAGTCATCATGTGCAGTGATTTTTGAGCCCCCCAAAATAAAGTCAGCCACTGTTTCCACTGTTTCCCCATCTATTTGCCATGAAGTGATGGGACCAGATGCCATGATCTTAGTTTTCTGAATGTTAAGCTTTAAGCCAACTTTTTCAATCTCCTCTTTCACCTTCATCAAGAGGCTCTTTAGTTCTTCACTTTCTGCTGTGAGGGTGGTGTCATCTCCATGTCTGAGTCTGTTGATATTTCTCCCGGCACCATGGAGCAAATGTCTCATCGACTTCCTGGACAGGACCAAATAGCCTACAAAGGCAATGACAAGTGTGCTTTTAAGAGGGACAGAGAAGGAGATTAGAATGCAGAAGAGGAGACTATGTAAAGATGATGGAAGTAGGGAGAAAAGGTAGAGTGATGTAGGATCACAAACCTAGGGATGTGGAAAACTTCTTCAGGCTCAAAAGGCAAGGATGTAGATTCTCCCCTACAGACTCCAGAAGCTGGCTTTGCCAACACTTTTATTTTTATCCCATAAGACCCACTTAGGGCTTCCCCGGTGGCTCAGAAAACAAAGAATCCTCCTGCAATGAAGGAGACGTGGGTTCGGTCCCTGGGTCAGGAACATCCCCTGGAGAAGGAATTGGCCACCCACTCCAGTATTCTGGCCTGTAGAATGCTATGGACAGAGGAGCCTAGAGAGCCACAGTCCACGGGGTCACAGAGTTGGACACGACTGAGCGACTAATGTTTTCACACTTTCACTTTCAAGACCCATTTTCCATTTCTGACTCCCGGAAATATAAGGTAATAATTGTTGCTTTAAGTCACTAAATTTTTAAAATAGTTTTTATTGAAGTGTAGTTGATTTCCATGATTTACGGTTTTGTGTTAGCTTCAGGTGTAAGCAGGTGAATGTGTTATGTGTTTACATACAGCCATTCTCCTTAGATTCTGTCCCCACGTAGATCATTACAGAATATCACGTAGCATTCTCTGCGCTCCACAGTAGGGCCTTGCTAGTCCTCTATCTCATACATAGTAGTGTGTACACATCAGTCCCAATCCTCCAGTTTATCCTTCTCCTTCCTTATCCCCTGGTGACTGTACGTTTGCTTTCTGTATCAGTGACTCTGTTTGTTTGGTAGATAAGTTCATGTGTATACCCTTTTAAGATTTCACATATAGGTGATGTCATATGATGTTTGTTTTTTCTGTGTCTGACTTACTTCAGTCAGTGTGACAACCTTAGGTCCATCCAGTTTGTTGCCAATGGCATTGTTTTTCTTTTTATGGCTGAGAAATACACCATTGCACATTTTTACCACATCTTCATCCATTCCTCTGTTGATGGACATCTAGGTTGCTTTCATGTCCTGGCTATTGTAAATAGTGCTGCAATGAACATCGGGGTGCATGTATATTTTTGAATTATTGTTTTCTCCGGATATATGTCCAGGGGTGGGATTGATGGATCATATGGTAGATCATGTCACTGCATCATCAGTCACTAAATTTGTGGTAACTTGTTACAACAATAATAGGAAACTAATACAGCATAGATCTAAAATCATATTAAAAATGTGAAGTTATGCTATACAACTCAACTTAACCAAGTTTCTGTGATAAAAGCTAGTCAGAAAACCAAAGTTTCACTGATGCCCACATAATTTAATTCAGTGTAGTACCTCAAAGCACTTTTGAGGGCACCCAAGAGCGAAAGCAATGATGCTGAAGCATTTTGAAAGGTCCTTTGGGAAACTCTGTGGGAAGAAGAGAAGGACGCCAGAGAAGAGACTTTCAGAGGAGACATTTTACTTTCAAATGAGAAGCATGAAAAAGCGGGATTCCTTCCTGAAAGAAGTCTTCTTCAAAGAGGAAAGTGGGATATGTTAGCACTAATGATGGACATTGGGTAATTTCAACTCTGAGACATTTCTCACCATAAAGGAAAAGCGGGACAGCAAAGAGCCAAGCTTCTAATGTTTTGTACTATACAAGAGAAAGAAGACAAAACTATTATAGACATGGCCTGAGCAGGGCCTGAGCCCCAGAGAACTGGACGGTTTTTGTTGCTTGTGTAGACTACCACCTTTGTTTGCACTGATGTTTTTTTCCCTGATAAGAAACACGTGAAATGGACAATAGTACTATCAACAGTATTTCTTCGGGGTGCATTTCCACTGATGCCAGCCACAAAGAGCATTCTTGAACCCAAAACCGATAATTATCTGTTGAGTTTTTTCTTTATCTTCTGACACATGTGCATAAAACGGTATATTTTTTGAAAAAAAATATGCCACACTCTGACCACCCAATTGCCACATGTGGCCTTGGCCTCGGTATTTGGCGATAGTGTAACCCATTCTTATCTCACAGGACTGTTCTGTCATAAACCAAGAGACGAGGTTCCCTTCTGAATTCAGAATACCAAATCCTGCAAAATTCTGGAGACAGCGTTCAACGTATTTCAAGCTCTTCTCATTTTTTCCCAACTCCCAGTGCTCATTCACAATCCTTGCATGCGAGACATCTAAGAAGATGCTCTGCAAAGTTTCTTTCCTGTCAAGAAAAAATGTACATTTATTCAGCCAACATTTAGAAAACATCAGGATTGCAGAAAATATGACACCTCCCTTTCCTTAAGGGTCCACAACCCAGAGGAAGAACTCTGGGCTCACACACACAGTCAACTATTTATATGCCTGCTTCAAAATGTTCCCAAATAATTGAAAGTGAGAAAATCCTCTGTCATGTATGATACATTTAAGAGCAGAGAGTCAGCTAGATATAGTATAGCATATCTCAAAAAGTCCAACCAAATACCCCAACAAAGGAGAGTAAGAGCAAGGACTGTGAGCCAGCACAACATACCATGTGGCTGAATTTTCTTTAAAGTTTCTTGTATGAAAAATGTGGGATTGAGAGGTACAAGCTACTATGTATAAAAGGGATAGGCCACAAGGATATACAGTGCAAGGAAACATATTTATTATGTTGAGATGACTTTTAACTGAAGTATAGCCTAAAAATTACTGAGCGTCTATACTGTACATCTGAAGCTAATATGATATAAATCAACTATACCTCCATTTTAAAATGTAGATTTCAGACTATACTTCACAAAGTATCTAAATACACAAGATAATGTTTCTTCCAACAGATATTTCAACAAAATGTACATCACAGGGAGATGACAGCCATGCTGATCTTATGGCTTCACGTGTCCCAAACACGTCCCCACATACCACGAGAGAAGTACAAAAACGCAATTTTGGGAGCAGAAACACACCAAAAAAGGATACTGGATTTTTTTCTTTTTAGTGATGGTGGTAATAATCAGGGTTTTAGCACTGATTCTATTATTGGGCAAGTTACCCGAGACTGCGTTTTCTCATCTGCAAAATCAGAATAACATCTTCTATGGCTAGGAGTGGTTGGCGCAGAAGGAAGATCTCAAAGAAGTTCTACCCCTTATCAAGGAGGAAGAGTTTCCAGGAACTTGTCAAAGTCACTTCACGTTTGCCATTGGGCGGGGTCACAGGGCTCTCAACTGTCTACACATAGGTGAGGCTTTCTCCCTGTCATCCTCAAACTGATTCTGGCCCTACTTCCTCAGAGATCTCCAGCATCCTCACCTGCCTTCCTCCTGCGCTACAGGCAAACCCCAAGGGGCGAGATACCCGAGTATATATTTGGGTTTAGAGGAGATAAAGACCCACCTTAGGACAGGCACTGCATTACAGTACTCCAGCTATAATGCCAAGTATTATTTAATCCCTAGTTACTGTTTTTCCCCATGCAAATATTTCCTTTACGATTCTTATGGGAACACAGTTGAGCCACAAGCAGGGTTCAAATATTATTGACGTTCCCGGCTAAATCAGTTGTACGTGTTTAGTGTGTATTTAGATTTTATTTATCTGTTGACGTCGTGATACAATTAGTAAGCATAAATGGATATCAGTGGAAAATAATTGTTGCCTTTTTCTCTGATTTCTTATCACACAGTTACCTTCTCCAGAGGCAACTAGTGATGTGATAAATTTATGCAACTTTCCAGAGGCATCGTTTGGAACTTTAGATGTGTTCTACTGTGATGACATACTGTCTATATGATTCTGCCCATCTTCGTTGTTGCTAATGTTGTTGCTTCACTAAGAAAATATTTTTGTTGGTGCTGTTGCTTCAGAATATATTTTTGGAATTGTTTCCTTATTAGTTCACAGAGGGCTGCTTCATTCTTGTTAATGGTTGTATACTATTCCAGCGTTTGGACTGTACCATAGTAAATTTATCCATGTCCCTACTGAAAGATAGGTTTTTTCATATGCTATGCTATCATATGTTCACACATCATGCACACCATCCAATTTGGTAAAAATCTTCCATTTAATGTACATATTATTTTACCCAGGCATTTCAATTCTAGGAGTTCAGTTTTCAGTAATACTTATACAACTTGTGTGATGATCTATTTGTGAAGACGTTTATTGCAGAATTTTTGTTATCAGGAAGAACAGTGGAGAAATCAGGTGTGTAGATACAGGCACACGGAATCACATATCTCCCTCTTAGAGTAATCTACGCAGCTGTCAAAATAAACGAAGGACGCCTGCATGAGCTTACATGAAAGACGATATAACACATAGCTGAGTGAAAGCAGTAAAGAGCAGTATAGCCATGCATATGTTGTAGAGAAAAAAACTAACAAAACAACTCATACATACAGAGTTCTAAAACCAATGCTGAGAGTATCTACACATGGACAGAAAGATTTCGGAAACCCAAGTGGGCAAGCCTTCACTTTTTACTTTGTATATTTGTATCCTTTGCATAGGGCTTCCCTGGTGGATCAGTGGTAAAGAATTCTCCTGCAGTGCAGGAGATGCAGGTTTCATCCCTGGGTCGGAAAGATCACCTGGAGAAGGAAATGGCAACCCGCTGCAGTATTCTTGCCTGGGAAATCCATGGACAGAGGAGCCTGGCAGGCTACAGTCCAGTGGGGTCGCAAAAGAGTCAAATACAACTTGGCAACTAAACAGACACACACACACACACACAGACATGTACTTTGCATAGCATGAAGTAATTTTTTTTGGTCAAAAAATGAATAGTTTCAGTAAAAGTTTTTCAGTTCTACCATGACATCCAGTATTCTCCCAGGAGCACTCTTGTGAGATCTAAGGAAGTTGATATGTGGAAAAGAACCTACTCTAACGAAGTTCCTGCCCACTCTCAGCAAACATTACCTAACACAGTTCCCTTTCTTACCCATGCAGCTCTGGACACCATTATAATGTAGTCGCAGATCCTACATTTAAGGGTCTGGCCCATAGGGCAACTGAATTATTCTATCAGAAATTTCAGAAGCAAAAGGTAAAAATCTCACCGTTTATCTTTCAGCACTGTAGGAACCTGTAGTAACTTTATGAAATCCATCTTGTCACCACTCGATGCCGCGAATGTTGGTTTTTCAAACACGTAAAGTATGGTTCTCAGATAATCTACCTGCACTGATTTTGAAGCTGCAACTTTTTGTAATGCCTTGCCCAGGCTCTCTTGACAACCTGGGGAGAGGAGAAAAGCAAGCATCATTTCACCCCCTGTCATATCTACCATAAATTAAATGGGACATCTTTGGCTTTAATTTAGACCAGTTACCTTGGATCTGGAAGGCTTGTTCCCAGTTGATGACCTGCGGGCATGCTAGGACTTCCTCTAACTTGTCAGGAGCTTTGGTAAAGATGTGGTAAGTGTTGATATAATAATCCAGGTCATCCTTCATCTCCTGAAGTAACAAACATCAGTCACACTTACATAGTGATACCATTAACAAAATGTTTTGCCTATGTCCAGAGCACTAGAGACTTATTTGTTGGATAGGCTTTGTCGCTGTTGTTGTGTGAGAAAGGTGCCGACAGTGTCTCAGACTCCCTTGTAGACTGGAAGGGGCTCCTTCCTGGTGATGCCCTGGAGTCAGCTGCCCTTGGGACGATGGGCAAGTGGTCCCAGTGTCTGAGACGGAAAGTGCAGCAGAAAGAGCGCGTGTTAAAGGCCTCAAAGAGCGGGGACCTGAGGGGTGGAGGGGAGCACAGAGAACAGGGCTGGGGTCCAGGCTTGTGGTCTGCGAGAAGGTGACGCCTCGGCTAATTCTGAAGGTGAATTCCCGGGTGGCACTAGTGGCAAAGAGCCCGCCTGCCAGTGCAGGGGACGTGAGATCCCCTGGAAGAGGGCACGGCAACCCCCTCCAGCCTTCTGGCCTGGAGAACCCCATGGACAGGGGAGCCTGGAGAGTTACCGTCCACGGGGTCGGCCAGAGTCAGCCACGCCTGGGCTCCTGACACTTGCAGGTTAGCTGTGACCCAGCCCTCTGGAGCTGGCATGGTGATCAGCGCGCGGCGTGCCCGTGAGAACAGCGGACCGATGGAAAACGTCCCGACGCCCAGCCGCGGCGCCAGAGCCCACAGAAGCGCCTGGAGGGCCAGGGCTGCTGGGCCCCCCGCCGCCTGTTTGCCCCTGCTGCCGGCTCGCCCCGGGGCCGCTGCGTTCCAAGACTCCTGATGACTATCTACGTGGATAAGGGGGCGGGGGCTGTTAAAGAAGCGCTACTCCGGGAAGGATGGGATTCACCACTCAAACTCCCCTGAAAGATGAAGACACTCTTGTGAAAGAAACATGACATCGATTGTTTCGCAAACCTCTGACATAGTTATTTTTGTCAACTTCATCTTCTGTGTTAGGAAAGCAGCGGTCTTAGACCTCACACTCAGCACTGCTCAAAGGACTGTGGGATTGTGGTTATCGAGCCACAGGGAAAGCGAACACTTCCTGACCATTTCCAGCCGCAGGCATCCAGGTTGAGGTGGATGCCTCTGATCGGAGTCTTGACGGGGGAGAGCTGACTGAATGGAATTCTAGAGCAACTTACAGGTTACACTAGAGGCTCTGCGGTCTACTCCCATGCTTGGTCTCACCATCCTGCCCTCTCGTCCCAGCAACCCTTCTCAAATCTGCACGAATCAGGCGTGTCAAGATCCATCCCCCCTGCCGGCCCCTCGCTGCAGCCCCTCATCCCCGTCCTGAGGGTGAGGGGCCCGGCCCTCGGGAGCCGGGGTCTCACCTCTTTCTGAGGCCGTATGACGACTGTCTGGTACTCTGGCCAGGCATCCACCAGCACCTCCAGGTTGAACGGGTTTTTATTTCTAATGTGGAAAAGGGCACCATACACCTGCAAGAGCAAAAACCCAGCAGGAGAGGATGAAATTCTTCTTTGAGACAGGGTCTTGCCTGTGGCATGGGAAGTAAAAGTGGGCGTTAGAAGGACTTGATGGGGGACGTCCCAGATAGTCCAGGGGCTGAGACTCCCAGCTCCCAGTGCAGCGGGCCCAGGTCGACCCCTGGTCAGGGAACTAGGTCCCACCTGCCGCAGCTAAGGGTTCAGGTGCTGTGGCGAAAGATCCCACGTGCTGCAACTGAGAGCCAGTGCACCCACGTAAACAAATAAACATTTTCTAAAAAGAGAAGGACTTGAAAGGACAGGACTAGTGCTTCCAGCGTAGCACGCTGGACTATTCGTCGAAAGACATCCTGCAAAATGGTGCAGGAAGCGTCCCCAAAAACCCAAGTTAATAACAAATGAACTGGCTTCTCTAACATGTATTCATGCGTTTTTTGAAAAGTCCATACTATTGATACGTTTCCTATTTTAAACGTTAATACCACGCCATTTATTCAACATCTGCCTATTGTATATCAAATTTGTGTCAAATATGGAGAATTCAAAGGTGGATATGATGTGGCCACTGCCTTCAAGCCAAGTCTAGAAGGTCAAAGAGATACACAGTCTAAACTTAAAAAGGCACGTGTTCTGATAGGTCTGTGCCCATGGTCAAGTGGGGTCACAAAAAGGCAAAGTCACTACCTGTCCAGAAGCAGTGGGAAACTTACAGAAAAACTAACATTTAAATTGGACCATGAAAAATAAATAAACCTGGTGAAGTTGAGAGAAGAGGAAGACAAGCATTCTGTTGGGAGAAGGAGCATGATTGGAGGCTTGAAGGTGCTGAGTCCACCCACCTGCTGAACTGTGAGGGGTCAGTGATCGAACGCATAGTATGTCTTCCATGTCAGGAAATGAAGAGACGCTTTTGATAAATGCTTGTATATCCGGTTAAGGAATACGGGCTTTATGCTTTGGACATGAACCGCCACTAGCATTTTAAAGCAAGGGAGTGATACGATCATATGTGTGTTAGAGGGATACTCTGGTTATCGAGTTGCAGGTGACCAATAGCTTGGGACCGTTAAGGAAATCCAGTAAACATAGCAGCAGAATTGATTCACGAGATATTGTAGGGTCTTTCCTAGTGATCTAGTGGCTCAGACCCTGAGCTCCCAATGCAGGGAGGGGGGCAGATTCGACCCCTGGTCAGGGAACTAGACCACACATGCCACAACTAAGACCCAGTGCAGATAAATGAATAAAAATTAATTTAAAAAAATATTGTGTATGTATGGCTGAGTCCTTGTGCTGTTCAAATAAAACTGCCATGACATCACTAATCAGCTATACCCCAGTACAAAATAAAGGTTTTTAAAAGATACTGAAGAATCCCCAGGGAAGTAAAGGAGGTGATTGGATGTGGCTTTTAAGATAGTCCCAGGCAGAAGGAATCCTGGACTTGCACCTCCATCTGCCCTGGAAAGCCCTGAGTCTGCCTTCTCCACGCCTCAGTCCTCTCCTCCTCCCTCTCCCCCCACGCCCTTACCTTCAAGGACTCAGGGGTGCTCTCTTCCAAGGAGTCATACAGAATCTGAAGTTGCTGGGGTTCACGGAGCACCAACATCCTGTGTAGCACCCAAGCCCCTTCCCCGAGGAAGACAATCTGAGGAAAGAGTCACACCAACAAAAACACCTGGAGATCAGAGCCGGGCATCCCAGAAGGGCGAGGGGGGCCCCCGGGGACAGCCCACACGGCCAGAGGCACAGCGCTGTCCGCAAGGGTGTGCCCAAGGACCAACTGGCAAAATCCAGAAACTGCAACTGCATGTCAGCAACCTCGAAACAGAGCAAACCTTGCATTCAATAACTCCACTTCTAGGAACTCATATCAAGGAGATAATAGGAGACACCTATAAGAATGTAAATATAAGAAAATTTACCATAGTATCATGATACTGTAAACTTAGAAACAATCCGAAATCCATTATAGGAAATTGGTAAAGTAAATGATGGCATATCCAAAAACTGGGTCACCAGGTAGCCATTAAAATGATGTCTTCAAAATGGATTTAATGACACAGGAAAACATCCATGTTATAAAATAAAGAAGAGATGTGATATAATCCAAATTAGTACTCACCTCAAATTCATTCTGAAACAAAGTAGTATATAAGCAAGATACATTTATGGACATTCTTCAGTCCCATACACACAGATATCTGACTACACATATAATTATATAATATATATGCATATTACATGTACTCGATCAGGAATATATGATACTTAAAGACATTATACAAGAGTATCCATATTTTCTAAAAATTAAAAAATACAAGCAATTCTAAGCAATTTTGATGGCTTATAGGAGAGGCAGCAACTTTTTAAAAATCTTAACAGTCCTGAAAAATCCAACATCCTGTGTATGTGTGCTCAGTCATGTCCAACTCTCTGTGACCCCATGGAACTGCAGCCTACCAGTCTCCTCCGTCCTTGGAATTTTCCAGGCAAGAATACTGGAGCAGTTTGCTATTTCCTTCTCCAGGGGATTTTCCCAACCCAGAGATCGAACCCATATGTCTTGCATCTCCTACATTGGCAGGCAGATTCTTTACCAGTAGTGCTACCTGAGAAGCCCCACATGTGTGTTTAAAAAAGTGAAAGTGTTAGTTGCTAAGTTGTGTCTGACTCTTTGTGACCCCATGGACGGTAACTCATCTGTCCATGGAATTCTCCAGGCAAGAAATACTGGAGTAGGTAGTCATTCCCTTCTCCAGGGGATCTTCTTGACCCGGGGATCGAACCCAGGTCTCCTGCACTGCAGGCAGACTGCACCGTCTGAGTCGCCAGGGAAGCCCATGCTGCGTATAGCCGAAACAAAACCAGTGGAAATGGAATGGTCAAGAACATGATCTCTAGAGTAGGCAGGTCAATTTACTTGAATGTCTCTGAGCTTCACTTTCTTTGTCTATAAAATAGGCATAACAATAACTCCTTTGTAGGCTGTTTTGAGGATTATGTCAAGTCACAAAATGTATGTGATGTGTTTTGCGAAGCGATAGATGTGTGTGTGTGTGTGTGTGTGTGTATACACACACATATGTTTATGTATATATATATATACCTGAGGGAAAAATTAGAAAACCTTCAAATTCAGGCAAGGGAAAATAGGATGAATGGCTTCTGATGTTCATTAGAGAAAATACAGCCTGGGAATACACACAGGGATTCCCCAGCACTGCTTAAGACCAGGTTCAGAAGAAAACCGTCACTTGGAAGGGGCATTTATCCGCACGGGTGAGCCCAGCACCCAGAGGCTAGAAGTGGGAGAGACAGAGTGAAACCAGCCAGGGTTGGATTTTCCAGGCTTAGGGCAGCAGAGAAGATAAGTGGCAAAGTAAATGCTTGAGAATGAGATGATAACACTTGAAACTGAATCTGTGGGATCCAGGAGAGAGAAGGGGCTTCCCGGATGCCTCAGATGGTAAAGAACCCACCTGCAATGCAGGAGACCTGGGTTTAATCCCTGGGTTGGAATGGTTCCCTGGAGAAGAGAAGGGAATGGCAACCCACACCAGTATGCTTGCCTGGAGAGCAGCCTAGCCGGTTACCGTCCATGGGGTCACAAAGAGCTGGGCACAGCTGGGCAAAACTAACACGTTTACTTTCAGGAGAGAGAAAGAAAGAAGTAAAATAGGAGGCAGGTCCAACCAAGTGGGGAAAGATGTAAAGAGTGTAGGAGGAGGCTAACAGAATAGCAGTGGTGACGGACAGGGGGCATATGTCCATAGAACAGGGGACTGGATGAGGAATTAGGCTGTTGGAGGTGAGGGTGTCGGAGGTGGATCAGCTCTGGATAGATGGCTGTAAACTTCAAGCCGACAGTGGGAGTCAGGATGGGGCCGGGAGCTGCAGGTGTCAGAGCCACCACCAGGATGTGGCAGGCGTTTGAGGGAGAGGAACGTCTGTGAGTCAAGTGCTGAATATATCAATAAACAGACCAAGGTCTGGCAGAAAGCAATCTGAGACAGCAAAGCTTCATCTTAGCCAGGCGGCCCAGCACTCAAAGGAAGACGTTTGCTGTGCACGTAACACTTTTCAAAGCACGGATTGAAGACCAGGGGTATGCTGAGTCTCCTCTTTACTCAGGATTACTATGGGTGCCTGGGGGGGGGGGGGTGGCAGGGAAAGGCTTGGGTCGATCAGTGATTTATAATTCAGGGAAAGAATCTGAGGAGCCAGAGATTTCAAAACACTGGCTCTGTATTCAAAATACTTTCTTCTCAAAGGACTTTCTACTCCAGGGACCTAAAATTTCCTTGAAAAATTTGTTCTCAATCCTGGGATGCTGGTGAATGCTTTTCCAAAGGTTTGCAGGGGGCAAATGAATGAACAAATACACATTCTTTAGAATCGGGCTTCCCTGGTAGCTCAGCCGGTAAAGAATCTGCCTGCAATGCAGAAGACCCCGGTTTGATTCCTGGGTTGGGAAGATCCCCTGGAGAAGGGATAGGCTACCCACTCCAGTATTCTTGGGCTTCCCTGGTGGTTCAGCTGGTAAGGAATCTGCGTGCAATGCAGCAGACCTGGGTTCAATCCCTGGGTTGGGAAGACCCCCTGGAGAAGGGAATGGCAACCTGCTCCAGTATTCTGGCCTGGAGAATTCCATGGACTGTAAAATGAATTAACAAATACACATTCTTTAGAATAGGATCCTAATTAACTGAAAGGCTGAGAAGAAACAAGACTTTGGCCTTCTAAAACAGTTCTGCTTACCTGCAGTTTCCTCTTAGACGTGAGTACACAGCGCCTTCTGCAGTTGCTCGGTGACAGTGGAAAGATTTCCCTAAAGGCCACAGATAGTCTCACCCACAGTCAATTCCACCTGACTCAGGTCATCCCTGTTTAGCATAAAGCTCTGAGTTGTGTATTCTTATTGAGCATTTACATGAATGAGGCCAGAGGCTTTGTGCACCGGAGGAAGGCTGGGAACATGTTCCGTACTGAGCAGATTCTACATTTATAAGTTTCCCAGCAAAGCTTCCACACTAGCGCTTGTAGCCAATTGGCTAATCCAAAGCAGTAATAATGAGGTAATTTGCAAAAATGACCTAGCTGCAGCAATATTCAAATACATCATTTGGGCAAACAAAAGATGGAAAATTTGGCTTCGCTGTGAAATATGCAGCCTCGTGCCTCCAAGCTTTTGTGACCTCAGCACCTCCAGAGGTTGAGATTCCTTGCTTCCAATGCAGGTGGCACAGGTTTGATCCCTGGTCGGGGAACTAGGATCCCACAAGCCACATGGCATGGCCAAAGATATATAGATAGGTAGATAAAATTAATTTTAAAAGTTAAATTAAATCTTAAAATCTCCTACAAGAGTATGATCTACTTGAACATTTTTGAGACCCCGAAGCAGAGGAAAGGGATGATAAATCGTCAAAATCTTACCCATTTTCTGGAATGTTGTGAACCAACTTGAGAAAGTTTAATTATTCAGGAAATGAGAAAGGCAAATTTTATTGTCACACAAACAAGGAAGATGATGTTGAAAGGCAACATCTTCCCTGAGGTCACAAACCTAGCCAGCATTAACGCCTCGAGCTGAAGCCAAAGACCAGGATCTGTTACGAAACTATGGTTCTTCAGAAAGGGAGTCAGAGCCTCCCAGAGGTTTGGAGAAGTCCAGTTCACTGGCTGTCATCATGGTATTAGGCATATTAAAAACGTTATATTAGGCATATTAAAAGTAAGACAGATAAAAATGATTTTAAAGTTACAGTAGCTTTATTACATAGCTCTAAATGTGTTGCTGTTGTTTTTCAGTCGCTCAATGGTGTCTGACTCTGTGACCCCATGGACTGCAGCACGCCAGGCCTCCCTGTCCTTCACCATCTCCCAGAGCTTGCTCAGACTCATGTCCATTGAGTCAGTGATACCATCCAACCATCTCATCCTCTGTTGTCCCTTTCTCCTCCCGCCTTCAAACTTTCCCAGCATCAGAGTCTTTTCCAGTGAGTTGGCTCTTTGCATCAGGTGGCCAAAGTATTGGAGTTTCAGCATCAGTCCTTTCAATGAATGTTCAGGGATAATTTCCTCTAGGATTTACTGGTTTGATCTCCTTGCCTTCCACCTGTACATTCTATGTATTTATGCCTTTAGCAACAAAAAAGGCCAAGGGTTACTACCACGGAACACTTGTGAGTGTTTTGGCTCACGAGAGCAGCACAGGACCTATGGAACGTTAATTCAGAGTGGACTCTTGACGGGGTATACTTGGTAGTGAATATTTTGTTTCAGTCCTGTCAGCGTCCCTGCATATATCATCTCATTGGGAAGTCACACCAGAAGATCGAGTTTGGGACTCTTTGTGAAATGGGGCCAATCACATGTGCCCCCCCATCCCACTATCCATTCACGATGGACCTGCAGAGGTTGAGGAGAAGTTCAGGCTAAACAGCTGGGAGGGGCCGTGGATCGGAGGGGAGAGGGGTCACTGGAAATGCAGCCCGAAGTGGTCAAAGTTGAGTAGTATGGACATGTCGCGTGTGAAAGCACAGCTCACTGCCACCATCCAGACAGCCCACCTTTTCTCCAGAGACCGGGCTACCTTAATTGTTT